CCCCCCGCCACAGGTCCCCCCCCCCCCCCCTCCTTCCAGATCAGCCCCCCCCTCGACCAGCAGCTCTCCTTGCACCACCCGCAGAGCTCCCTCCTCAGCCAGCCCCTCAGCATGCAGCAGGTCCCCCAGCAGCCCCTCCTGTCCCCCCCCATGGCACTACAGGTACAGCCCCCCATGAACGCCTCGCCTCCCGGGCAGCAGGTAGGTGCTCAGAGGGAGAGCGGGTTTGCGGCATGAACTGCACCATTTCCCCGCTTCTTGTTGGGTCTGCTGGTTTCTGGGTGGTTTGGGGATGTTGGGTGTCAATGTTGTCCCCAGGGGAGCCTTCTCCTGGCTCCATCACCCTGCAGATCTCATAGTTCAGGGGTGACACTTTCAAGAGTGCTGAGCTGGAAGCACAAGCACCCCACAAATGGGGCAGATTTGTGCAATGTAGCAGTGAAAGCTCTTTCAGTGGGGGAAGATGTGGGAATTGGGCATGCCCCTGGTAAAAGCTCCTTGTGCACCTGGTCCCCTAGCCTTGTCTGGTCATCTGAAACGATGGGTTGGATAGTCAGTGAGAAACCCCTCTCATGATATTTCTGAGAGAAGGAGGGACCGGAAGGGCATGGGATAATAGCAGGGATCCAGGGGAGGGGGTGTTGCCAGGAGGAGGAGAAAAAGGATAGAGGGAATGTCACAAACAAAATATAAAATCAGTATTTGTCCAAAAACTGCCTGGCAATAGGAGAAAATCACTTCTGTGGCAGAGAGCCAAGAACATGCAACGTGTGCTTGCGTATATGCTTATACTAACAGCGTAGCAGCAAAGCAAATCCTATAGACTGGTGCTATGAATGTGAAAAACCTGCTGAAGCAAACCATGCCCAGGCTCAGCCCAGCAGCCCACGCTCAGGGAGCCAGCCTGCAGGGTCAAAGTCTCTCCTCTTTAAACCTGCTACTAAGAAAATACATCTGGAGGAAAAATTGGCTATAGCAGAAAACATTTCCTATACGTTATAGAGAACTTGCCAGTATACAAAGTAGGAGACGAGTGGTTTCCAGAGTTTCTCCATCTGGAATATGAACTGGACGAACTATTCACAGTGGAGGACATATGCTCTGAATTCACAGCTGCTACCATTTACTTGATGATACTTTTAACTGTAGTATTCACCCAGCTGGCTGAATAATTGTGTTTCACATGTTTGCTAGCCATGTATCACAAAATTCGTACAGTACTTTAGCAATGAACAAAGCTTTTTTTCCCCGTAATGTGACCTATTCAATTTGGGGCTAACTTTGAGAAAACAGAAATTGTTAATTTGGGAACAGATAGTTCAGTGGAAGACAACCAAAGGAGAGCAGGGATGTGGGAGCACAGTTATCCCTGACCATAATAAAAAGACAGCACATGTGAGAAGGTCAGATCCTCAATCAGATTTTGATTTCCAGCCTGTTCAGGGTTTCCCAATTAACTTCTCCAGCACAGTGACTGGGCTTTGGCTCTGCATAAGCGAAAGTGGCTTCTGTAATTCAGTGATAGTCCAGAAATGAGCAGAAAAGGGGATCCTCATAATCACTTTAATTGGGGTAGTTGCTGTTGCTGAAGGCAGGATTTTGTGAAGCTTCATTACACATATGTTTGATAATAAAAAATTAAAAGTAAAAAAAAAAAAAACCAGCAACAACAAAAGCCCACTGCCCTAATTTGGGTGTTTTGGAGAAAATCATATTCTTGGTCAGGTAACTACCATGACTCTTGTTTATATACATTGCCTAATGTAACCTAATTAAGCCAACCCCCAAAAATGGGGAAAGCTAATTAGTTTTCAGATAAAACAGTCCCACAGCATCCTTGTTAGATCACCAGCAGTGACAGCTGATGGAGAGAGCATTGCTTGTGTGGATGTTGCTTACCTTGTTACTGTCCATGACGATGGGGTAACGCATTACTGCAAAGGCAGCTGCAGTTGAAGTGGAAAAATGATGTTGATTGCCAGCATGCTGATGCAAAGGCTTTCATGGCCATGGGTCTTCTGCAGCTGCTCACCACCCCCTGAGGAGGCAGGTCCTGAAAAACAAGAGCGGGGAAGAGGGACGTCAAACAGATGTTGCTGTGTTGACACCTGCTTGCAACAACTCACACTCCGGAAGGTCCCACCGCGGTGGTTTCGGGTCTCGGGCTTGAACCTGCTGCTGTACCTGGGGCTCCCCCGCCCTCTGCACTGCCGTGTTTTTGGGGCAATGCATGTAAACGTGTTTATGCAATGTTATTAGATCTGCTGTTTCTCCTGCTATGTATACTCCTGTAACCTTTCCTTTCCTTTCTGCCCTGCAGGACTTCTCACATATTTCGTCTGAGTTTCAAAACAGTGTTGGACCCCGTTCGCCTGGTGCATCAAACCCTCCAGGAAGCACTGAGTGGGACAACGACTACCCCAGCAGAGAGTGTGGGATTAACCACTGCAGGCCAGTAGACAAAACAGCACATTGCTAATGCACTTTCCGTTGTCTGAACTGACAGTGTACAACAGCTGAGAATCTGCCCTGAAAAGTACAGCAAGTTGGTAGGCTAATGACGGTCAATGAAGTCCAAGGTTTCCTCTTCTCTATAGGCTCACTGAAGTGATGCTATGGAAGCAGGTAGCTTAAAAATCACAGATAAATTCTTCGTTGGGCATGAAGAGATTTCTTTTTTTTGTGTGTGTTTCCATCCCATTAGCAATAAATGAGTTTGACATGTTTCCTTCTAGAGCAGACAGGGAAGCCCAGTCTCCCAAGCAGAGTCTCTGGAGGTTTGAGGGTGGCCATGTCCATAAGCAATGTCTTTCTCTTCCTAAAGTGATCACCCTTATCGCTGAGGCCACAGCCTCCTCTAACTGTCTCTAGCAATGGGTCCCTTATCGGTCCTGGGGTTTAACCACAATAGGGCACAAAGCCTCATCCTCCCAAGAGCCGCACAATGCTCCGGTCCCCTGCACCTTGTCGGAAAAGGCCGCCATCTTCTGCACAGATCTTCCCCCTTATGCCCTACAAGCTCTGGCATGAATGTGCCAACATAAAGGTTTGCTCGGATTCCCCAGTAAATAAAAACATCAGGATAGTCGCAAAGCTGGGGAACAGCAAGGGTGTGAAAGCCATTTCCAGCTTCTGCCTAATCCACTGCTCTTGGCTCAGCAATAATAGTTTGGAGACTGCTATTGTGCTCTGTAAAACAGGTATGTGGTTTGCTGGGAGAGCAGGTAGGGAAGGAGGCTTGGTAGCTTCTGAGTATTGTTTGATTTGCTTCAAGTACTGGAACATAGTGCTTTCACTGGAGATAATAGCAAGCTCCCAGCCTTTTCAGAGCACAGCTCCTGTCTGTGCCAGCAGTGCACTTACAATTGCTGGGCTGGGCACGGACTGTACAGACATTTATTTCTTTCAGGGAAATAAATAACTTGCTGAGCCATTAGAATATCGCTGCTGTCTGCCTGCCTAAGGGTGTTCAGCTACGTGGATTGTTCTGGGCTCTGCCGGTGACCTTTGTGTGGTCCTTCCTCAGGTCTCTGCAGACAACCCGAAAGAAGGAACCTGTTTGGGACCTGATGATAAAAGTCACTTTAGATGCTGTGGGCAAAATGCTAAAGATGCTCGGATGGTTATGGCACATGGATCCCAGTTTCCAGAGGTGCTAAGCAGAGGCAGTTCCCACAGAAATTAGCCCCCCTAGAGATAAGCATCGCTACTTAGGGGATCAGCTGGGAAAACACGTGATTCCCTCTGCAAATCCCACTGCCTGGGCCCCATGCAGAAAACTCAGGGTACTCTAGAAACGGGTGAAACGCTCCCATAGTAGTCAAGATTGAGTTTTGTGTTGCTAAAACAAGCTCTGTGACATCTGGCTGGAGTGCCGTATTGTAAGCAGAGGGCCCATGCAATTCATGATCAAAGCTCATGCATTTCATGCCTTTGTCACAGCAGAAATATCAAATTTCATGGGTTTATCGCAGCTTCCTGGAAAAAAAATCATTCTAAAACCAGACAGATTATGCAGAGACTTCCAGATAATTATTAGAGTAGATTATAGCAATGAACTCAGATGGATATAGATCAGTACTGCAGAGAGTGCTTAGTGCACCGAAAAATGCCGTCATCTGTGTTAAGGAAGGAGCCCATCTCCTGTGACTAGAGACACACGAGCTGCTGGCAGCCCAGCTCCCAAAGCTGGTTTGTTCTCGTTTTATTGTAAAGCCTGGTGCATCAGCAGTGCCATCACCTCCTGCTCCTGCTAGCCCCTGGTATTTGCTGCCGAAGTGCATGCTTTGCATTGCTTGTAGCACCCACACACATTTGCGGGACCGCAGCCCCGGTGTGTCTCAAGGTTACACTCATGTCAAGAAAAGAGGTGATCTGGTTCTCACCATCCTCCTGTCTGTACTGCTTTCTCCAATGTACTTTGCACTGATTTGCAAGCAACATTCAAAGTTACCCGTGGGCTCCTCTGCGGCACCTTGCCATGAGCTGGGTGTGAGGGTGCCGGGCGAGCTGTGTGCCTGAGCGGCCCCGGCAATCAGCAGGACTTAAGCAAAGCAGTGATAAAGGGAAGGCAGATCTTGTTGGGTTTGATTCATCGGTGCAGTTTTAGGTATAATCGGGAAGTCTCTGGATCATGTAATTGCCCATTTCAACCTCAAAACTGCATTCAGCTTAATTGCAATTAATGCAGCACTCTGAGGAGCAAAATCAGCAACTGGCTGGAAAGAAAAAGGATTATTTTCTGTTATGATGTGAATCAGCTGTAGAGTCCTAGATTCCTGAAAGAGAGGATCGTACCAACCTCCCCAGCACACAGGCAGTCCTGTCTTGCACACTGGATTAGGATTTTTGTTTCATGTGTGACCTTGATATTTCTTTAGCTTCCAACATGTGTTGGCACTGGGTTAGCTGGGGTAAAACCTCCTAATCCTACGTTTTCTTTTGGTTTTGTCATCCAGACAACTTCTGAAAAACTAACAAGGTTGTCTTTCTCTCTCTCCTTCTCCACCTAATAAGGGAACTGCTGTACGTTGGTTTTTTGGTTTTTTTTTTTCCCAGCCTATCAGTGCTAGTTAAAATGCCATTAAATGACACTTCTTCCCTTATACGTCTCAAATTCTAGAATCCTCTGCGCAGGCACTCCTTAATTCATAAATCAGCCATGTTAGAGAGAGAGTTTTAAATGTTTCTTAGCTCATGCTCTCCCCATTCTTAATGATTTTGTGCTTACTGACTTCCATCCAATTTTCCTAGCTCTTTCTAGGCTTAAGCCCAAGCTGTCCTAGACTGCTAGCAAAGACACAGGTAGCATTTCTCAGTTCCTGCTTAGTATATGACTATCACTTCCCACAAGCAATTGCAGCACACAATTTTATTGCTTTTTGCCATCGTATCACAAACTACTCTTATAGTCCCCTGTCTCCCTCACCTGACAGCCTTATTTTTGCACTTGCTCTTTCCCACGGAACACCTGTGTTTTGCAGTGGCTTTCTCCAAGGGAACTACCTCACCTGTATCAAGAGTGCAGCTTGGTTTACAATCGCTTGCAAATCTTTCTGAATTCCTCGAGGCACCTCACTTGTTTTTTCTGCCCTGTCTTCTGATCATAACTCTTCCCATACCAAAGCTGTCTTCAGGGTTTCGTTTACATTTGTCTCCTAGCATTTAGGTATTTTGGTGATAACACTGAACTGGATTCATCTTTCTATATCCTTCCCCTCATTTGCAAGACACGGATTAGGTTCTTTTTGGGTTACCACCATTTAGCAACTTTTCTGCCCTCTTCCCACTCTCCTTTGGGCCAGAAGATGGGACGCTCTCAGTTATGCCTTGTCCAGACGCACAAAACCGCGTACAGCCACTTCACCGGGGCACTTATAACCTCGCTAATTCCTGCTAACGATGAAGGGATCCTCTCCAAATGGGGGAATTTTCCAAATCAGAAACTAAATGAGCAAACACTGTAAAAAGGCAAGGATAAACCATCACAAATGCACTTAGTTTGGATTCAATTATTTATGGTAATACTTTGTAATGAACTGGGAAATGTTCTGTAGCATATTTTGTAAAATTAATGAAGTTTTAGTACTGGAATACCTCACTGCTGCTCAGTGGCATTAAATCTTTGCTGAGTGCAGTAGGGAAGACTCTGCATTTTAAATGCAGATTATAAAATGTGGAGATTAATGAAGTGCGGACTTGTCTGCACTCTATCAGAAGACAGCTCTATCAACAACAGCATTACCTTGCTGTCTGCTATCTCCCTGTTATTCCACTCATAAGCACACCCACACCAGAATCTCCCAAAGCTTTGTAATGTTCTTCACCACCTTTTAAGGCCAAGATGTCTTTATGGAGCCAGTGATGTTTGCATCAGGTCTGTGTAGATGATAAACCCATTAAAATGCCTGGATTTCAGAGCAAAACCCACATAGGGTGTCAGCCAGGGGAGAGGGACTTCAGCCACTCCTCTCTCTACTACGTCCTGAAAAAAGAGCATCTGGGCTCCCTCGTAGGACACTGCTGATGGCAAGTTAAAAGTGCCAGCCAGGCCACGTGGAGGGTTGAAGCACTGGGTACTACGGGCAGGGAAGGGAACGATGATCCCTACCTGCACACCTTGCTGTAGAGCCGTCCGCACGTGGGGTATCTCAGTGGTGTAAGCTGGCCTCCCTCTCCAGGACACACCTGGATCTCTTGAAATCAAAGTCATTGCTTCAATAACGTGATCAATTCAAGATCTGGTGGGCCAGGGATGTGCAGAGCACACAGCCTGGCTGCTGTCCCGCCAGCCCTCCTCCGTCGCCTCGTGGGAGTAAGGCAGCACCACAGTCTTCCCTGGGTTCCTTGTACCTCCTGCTGTCTTCATCAGACCCACGAGAAAGACCAGCTAATCCTGCTGTCTCAGAGATTTTTTTCCCCTGACTTCCTGATTATTAATTTTTCTGGTTGTACTTACTTTGGGAGAGGAGGAGAGAGGCATTGAGCAGATGGTGTCTCCTGCTCCCATGCTTTTCAGCCATGAAACTTATATCAATCCTCCTGGACACCTGCAAGCATCTTCAGGCATAAGACCCTCAATTATATTTTTGATACCCCCTGCTCCTTATGCAGTGTCAGAATGACACATTTTATCCAAAAGCAATTTTCTAAATCTCCATGGCTTAGCCTAAGTGCAGTGTGTGATGAAGGGGGCTGGTGGCCAAGGGGCTGGTTCCAGGCACAGCGCTCCACAGCCCGATGGTGGAGCTGGTACCAGCATCACGCTGGCGTGCTCTGCAGGGAAATCCAGAGTTGGCCCTCCCCTGCAGCCCCAGCAAGAGCAAAAATTAAGCCACAGGAAGGCATTTATGTCTTAGCCCTTATTGTTGAAATTCAGGAAGAACTAAAATTGCACCAGGCTCTTACTCTTAAGTGCCTTCTGCTTGGTTCATGTCTGCATACCCATGCCTCGCTGCAGACCATCTTATGTTTTGCGTTATGGAGTGCAATAAAAGCCATGGCACGGCTAAAAACGGGTGTGTGACCAGGCACGCAAATGCGAATTTCAGCTCCCCCAGGCTGTTTCCCTGCCCATCTCACCTTCTGCCTCTCGTTTCTCTTACAGCATGCTGCCAAGGGACAAGGCACTCTACCTCACCTAAAACTCAACATCTCTTTTCGAGGAGGCTCAGACGAAGGACACTTGAGAGGGTCTATCTTACAGACTACCCGGAGAAGCACCGAGCAAGTCGTATGGACGAGAGAGCTACCACTGCACCTCGTCGCTGGCTTCATTTCCAGGCTCTAAGAGCAGTTTTCTTCTATTATTTTTGAACTCTAAAGTCTACTTTCCATGGAAGCCCAAAACCTCATAAATCATGAAGAACAAAAAAAAAATAAATAAAAAAATGAAATAAATAAACACAAAAACAACAAAAAAATAAACTAAGGACACCATTTTTCTGCTTGCCATCAGCTTAGCTACAGACTATTTTCCTAGTGAACTGCTTTTAGACGCAGCATAGGCCCAGGTCTGGTGTCCTACAGCATTAGGCCAGCTCAGTAGGAGGAAGCACTCTTTTGACTTGCTAACAGCACTAAACTTTGTGCAAGAAAATGTGAAGTTTGTGTGAATATTGTACATGCAAAGGCCTTGGATGTCTGGCAAAAAAAAATACAAAAAAAAAAAAACTATTGCTAGGTAGGTGGGGGGAGAGAGCAGAAGGCAAAATACGAGAGGAAAAATGTGAAAAAGACCATGAAAATATAATTTGTTGGATAGTTGTAAGTAGTTTACTAAGTGTTTTAGAGCTGTGCTAAAGACATCTTTAAGATTTTTTTGTGAAAAAAATTAGTAGTTTACTTTATAGTAAAAGCATTTTATATTAATTGTAGCACATTTTTTAGTTATACATAGAAGGGAGATGTGTATAAAAAAAACAACAAAAAAGCCTGCCAAACTTGTTTCTATTATTTGTACAGCAAGAAATGGACAATTTATATCCATGTTGTATGGCATTATTATATTTTTTCTGCCATATGTCCATCTATTTAAAAATTGCTGACAATGATTTTTGTCTATTTATGAAAAATTAGAGAGCATAATTACAGTTTCTCATAAGGTGCATTTTTGGGTTTATTTTTTATTTTGTTTGACAGTGCTGCTTTCGCAGCACCTGGCACATTCAGTTCACAATGCTTATCTTACCTTTCTTTATAATAAAACATATGAAAAGTAGAACTGAACCAGTCTCTCCTTATTCTGGGGGCAGACCCTGGAAACGTCCCAGCCAGCGAGGTCCCTGCCTTGTCCTTGTCCTCCTCAGCTTTCCCATCCCTCGCTCCTCTCCCATCACATTCTCACTTGCTTTCGCTTTCTCCCCCCTTGCTCTGGGCCAGTACTACTTAATTAAATGTACCCGCGACCATCCCCAGCAATGAAAGCAGTGGCAGACAAGCATCTTTCTTTCATTTTCTTGGAAAATGCCAACTTTACACTCAGCAGAGGGTACTTTCTTTTCTTAAGCAATAACTTCTTGCCCTATGCATTTACTAACAAAGCTATCCCATGCCCCAGCCCTGTCAATCCTCCTCCCTTCTGCCAACCCTTCAGCAGACAGAAAAATGGCCTCACAGACATGGGGATCACCAAGCTCCCTGGTGGCCACCAGGAGCCCCATTTCCAATTTTTCCTAGGAAGCTTGGATGAAAAGGACATGAAAAGGATGGAAAATTCAAATGGTGTAAGGATGGAACTGGCATTTCCATCCTTCCGTAGCAGGGATGGAAAATTCAAATGCCATAAAAAAATAACATGATGTGAAATTTCACACCTTAGGCCACCTCTCTGGAGGAAACCTGCTAATTAATGTACCATTTGAAGCCCATTTGTAGACACAGCTTGGCCGTAGGAGTCTCACCATATTGTTGTCTCACTAGCACACAAGTTACTGTCATTTAGATAAGGCCCAATTTCTTCCAGTGTGCGTTTAAATGGAAACATGTGAAGCTGGGGCATGGCTGTCTTTCTTTCTCATGCAATTTGGGGTGCTGGGTCTCGTTCAGGCCCAAATGCCACAGCTAAGATCCTATTTTTCCCTACTGCTACCCGTCTATGATGAAAGTGGCCTTAACATTTATATTCTCCAACGACTTGAAATAACTTTTTTAAGCTTTCAGACCATTTTAATAAACCAGGGAAGAGCTCACCCTACAGAGTTAAGGGGTTTTTTGATGAATTAAATGGTTGTTTTCATCGCCTAATGGTTTTACATATGCTACAAAATCTTGCTGCCATGCCCTGTGCCTATTGCAGTAAGTCCCCGTTAGAATACCAAGCCCCAGTTCTTGCTGGCCCACAGGCCACTGGGCAGGGCAAGGAACACATGGTGGGAGTTGTCCTGCTGTGTCCTTTGGTTGACATCTGCTGTTGCATCATCCCACACACTCTGCTGGCACATTAAACAAGACCCACCCCAAAATCCCACCCAGAACCTGCCTGCTCTGGATGGGGCAAGGAGGAAGGCCTTCTGAGATGGAGAGGTGGTTTGGGGCATGGTGGGTTTGGACAAAGCAGTCCCCAGCAGACCACCCTGGATGCCAGGAGAGGTGGAGATAACAGCACCATGGCAGGAGACCGCAAGTCCCTGGAGCTGCAGGACCCTGCAGAGGCTTGCAGAAATCCAGGCAGGTCACAAAGTCCTTCTGCAATCAGCCTGACATAAAATCCATGTTCTCCTCCACTTCTGGGGCCATCATAGTGTTATCGCAAGGCGACTGAGTGGCAGTCCTCTCTGCTGAGAACATTTGCTTTCTCGGCATGAGACAGAGACGTGAAATCAAGATGTAACTCTGTGAATCAACTTTCATTAGAGCAGTTACACTTTTAACCCCAAGCTTCCTGCTCTCTGCAAGTATAAACAGAAAAAGTGCCTGTTCCTTGTCCCATTGCCCATGGTGACTCTATATTTTATTCTGGTATAAGCACAGCAAAATCTCACAAACGCAGCACAGCAGCTGTGGAGATGGGCAAGCGAGGAGAGCGGCTGGATAAAGCTATAAATGTGGGACTCTTCCTTGCTGGTGGCCAGCATACGGCCATGAAGCTCCCCTTTTATCTCTGTAATCTTGAGCCATTGGAAAATAAAATGAGGAGCATAAAACTTCCTGAGGAGAAGCACGAGCAATAACATCTCAGCCCAGCTTGGCTAGCCAGTGGTGAGAAGGGGGTGGGATGTGTGATAGGGTGTGGGAGAATAGGACATTAAGATGGAAACCTACCCTGAGTTATCACAGCAAAGAGATAGAACTTATTCCAGTGAGAGTTTCTGAAATGTTGTTTTTTTTTTCTGTGTAGCAGGTAAGTGGCCTTGAGACTCTGAAATCACAGGGAAGCCGTTTCCAGCCCTGGGATGAGATCTGGAAGAGGTCTTCACTGGCAGCTTCACATTACACCAGGTCCCTGTGCTTTGCCTTTTCTGAAGGAAGGTACCCGTCCACGATGCCCAGTGGACCTGCGCCCCAGCAGGCAGCCCCCGGCTGCATCATCTTTGTGTCGCTGTGATGGTGGCTTTGAAGCCATTCAAAAGCCTCCACCAAGAAGGTCTTCTTGGTGGCAAGGTGACCTTGCCAACTCAGGATTGACTGTGCAAGGCAATACCCATGCTTTTAACGACTTTCTAGCCAGCCTACCAATGTTACTGTGGGCTGCCTCTTCTTGTCTGCGGGCAGGCGATGGCAAAGGGCTGGTGGCTGCCACAGGGCAGCCGTGCAGGGCACAGTGGCCAATCTCCAGCTGCGGCAATGCAGGAGCCGCCTCGGGGATGCAGGGCAGTTGGCTATTATAGAGCCCAGGGCACTAATGAGAAATTGTGAGATGTTCCAGACCACTTTAAGCCCTACTAATCTCTAAATTTGCATGATGGCAGCTGCGCTTAAATGGTATTCCAGTTGTTGGCTGTCATGTACCTGGAATTGCTCCAAGGAAGCAACTGGGAGCCAAGCCTCCCATCCACCAGCACAGCTGGCTCACGAAGTGCATCCAATCTCCACTAACAGGTTCAGCCCCAACCCCACGGGCGGGCAAGGGCGAGCACCCAGGGGCAATGGGCCGGGCAGCAATGGCATGGCTGGGTGAGCCTCTCCTTGTTCTGAACCCTTGGTCTATTATTAACTTTAGTAGAAAATGTGGTAGCTGGGTCTGCAGAAACCATCTGATCACCCCTTGCACCTCAGGGCAGGGTCAGCTCTTCCTAAACCCTCCCTGTGTGCATAACCTCCCTTTAAAAAACCTTTAAATTCCAGGCAGATAACCTGAATCTCTCTCCCTACAAACCAAATTCCTTGCTTTTGAACATAGGGAAGAATTTATTGCTTTCCTTGTTGCAGTAATTTTTTCTGTATTTGAAGAAGGATATAGTCTCCCCCCCCACCTCCTCTCCTCCTGCCTGAGCCATTGCAATTGCAGAGCTCATGCTCCCAGGCAGGACGAGCGGTAGCGCTTCCACTTTTAGTCAATAAGCACCAGCTAGATCCTCAACAGGCTCCAAAACAGCTTTGGGGCAGGAGGCTCACAGGGCAGACGCGCTCTGCGGTGCCATGGGGGAGGCAGGACCCAGGCAGGTGTTCCCAGGCGTCAGGCTAATGATGGAGAGGGAAGTTAAGAGGCACGGGCAGGGAGAGACCTGGCTAATTGACTTTGGTTTATGAAGATGTAATTAGCAGCACTGTAGGATGTAATGAGGAGTTTAACAAATCTCGTCAGCAGGATCTCAGCAGTGTTAACCCTTCAAGCGCAGGGACTCAACCCTCCCGGCTAGCCCACTCAGCCCCGGTTGTGATGGGATGGGGTGCCTCCGGACGGTGATGCCCGGCTCCCACAGAAACAGGGATATCCACCAACATCTCATCACCCCACTGGGATACAGCCTCCTGCATTCCTGGGTTGTCCCATGGGCTGGTGGTATGCAGAAAGGGCCTGGTGGTATGCAGAAAGGGCCTGGTCTTTGCCTGTGGTTCTGCCTTAGGCACCACCCCGAGCTGTGCCCACAGCACAGGGCGATGGCCACAAATGCCCCAGCAGTGGTGAGGTGGGAGTGGAAGGCAGTGGGAGGACAGTTTGTCTTTGTTACATCTGTGTTATTATTATTCAGATGATGGAATGGAAGGGAAAACAGTCCTGACAAGCAATACTGAAAACTTTATGCAAGAAGGATCAAAGGAAAGGACTTCATTTAACAAATCCCAGGACCCTGATGACAGCAGCACGTGCCAGGAGCAGAAGCTGTCTTGTGCCAGCCCCACTTGCGTCCTGGTCCTCCACCAAGGGCAGCTTTGCACCTCGGCAAGTGTCCCCGTTCCCCAAAGGTCCCATCAGGGTTAGAGCTGCTCTGCGGTTCTGGTGGTGAGAGCAACAGTCCTTGCTGTGCTCCTGCTGGAAGCAGAGTGGTCAGACCAAGTTCATGATGAAGGAAACGTGCAACGGTGCTAGGACCCAGCTCCTGGGACAGCCCCCACCTACAGCACTGGGATCCCCAAGCTCACACTCAGCAGTGCCGTGCAACCAGGCAAAGAAGTTGTCTGTTGGACCCAGCATTGGCTGCCCATCACCCCAGACATACCTGTGCTTCACAAAGGTGGTGGCCACCATCAAATACTTCCACCTGCATCATG